AATCTGATTGCCCTTAACCACACTACTACTGAAGCAGACAAGCATGATTTCTAAAATAGCATGTTATACAGTATATAGTCCTCCTTCTATTAAAACGAACCGCTGTTCTGTTAAAAAACAAATTTCATCGCGGATAATGCCCTCTCTACGCTGGCCTCAGAGACTGGTGCACCAAGGTTGAATGCATCAATTTGAACAGCTCCGCTTGTGATTTTCTTTTTTCTAGACATTTTAGCACATCTTTACCTTGAAATGCTTGCCTGAGATGTGCGCTAATGCTCACGTTCCGTGACCTCGAAAGCTATACATCACCAGCTGTCTCCTTTGAGGAGAACACTGCCGAAAAATTTTTCAGTTTCCGTTCAGAGCAAAATAATCAACAAAAGTTTTCGTTATGGTTTTGCCTCTGTAAAACAATATTGTTTTTCTCGTTTTTGGTTCTTGTTCCAATCTGGCATGCTGATTATAATGCAGCAATACATTTGCTATTAAAAGATATAGCACATTAAATAATTTATTGCAGTACCTTGGTGAGAATCCCAATAAAAAAAAACAGTGGTAAAATCAAGAATGTGCTTCCTCAAAGGCCAACTCCGGCCATTTTTCGAGGTCAATGGATCTCAATGAAATTCACTGGGTACGTTCCTTAGCATATTTAGGTCATTTATGCTAAATTACAGGCTTGAGAGATTTGCTGACTGTTTGCAAATGAGTCTTAAAGATTGCCTCGAAAACCTCATCTCGCTTGCCAGAATTATTGGCAACACTGTCTGTGTGACTTCATGTTTGGCATGTCAATGGAAGTGACGCAGCTGATGTCATTGCTATTTTGGCTGCTACAGCGTTTATTGTGCTGGCCACAAGGCGACGGCGGCAGCGTTTGACACGGGTATAGCACGGAAAAGCTTTCTTCCTTCTTTTGTGGTGTTTGGCCGGCGCTTCGCTGGTCTTGCTTTCACAGTTTTCACACTATGCGCCGGCGGAACCAGTATACAGCCTCCTGTTCTTACCAAACAGTACGTCATACGCAGACAGGGATCCCGGTCAAGTTTCGATTTTGGTTTTGCACCTTTTTGCTGATTAAAAATTATTTTCAAATTTCCTGAGCATTTCAGCTATTGGGCTCGTGACAAGAGTGTCTCAGGAACATAAAAACACCATTACCTTGACATGGCCCAAAAATCGCCAGAGTTGGCCTTTTAAAAAAAATTACACCATCTCCTATTAAAGGGTACCCTGTGTAGATGCAAAGCAGTGGGTGCTAACGCTTACACTGGTGGCGGCGTTGACGCTGGTGCTTATCACAGCATTGCACAGGAGAGAAACCTTGGGAAGCACAAAGCACGCAGTGATGGACTGGTGTTACCTACTGGAACATGCGAATGGCTACTAATGGGCGATGAGAGATAGAAGACTCTGATTGGACACGGAGACCTGCAGCCTGCTTTTAGCTAACCTGCACGCTGGGAGTTTCTATAGTTTAACATCGCACAGAAGAAATCTTCCTCCAGCACTATCTTGGAAATCCTGGTCGAGTGCCTCTATATGCAGGATGACAAAGGAACAATTGTGCAGGGCGAGCAGTCGTTTTTTTTAATCTAGAAACTCGCTAGTATACGCTGCCTGCGCCGGCTTTGCGAGGTGGGATAGGGGGAGCGTAGGAGACGAGAGAGAGGGAGGGGATGCACATGTGCAGTAAGAGTGGTCCCGCCGCACACTGGATTGAACTCGACCTTTAGATACTTCACACCAAAAAAAAGTTATTGGATGATGTACGTTCCTATGCCCAATACGCTCTGTCGAAGCCTGATATGTGCAAGTGTGCGTTTCATTATGAATTTGTACACACTTTTTCTTGGTAGGTGCGTGGCTCACACAACGCTTGCACAATGCCAGTACTAATGTGCTAGAAATAAACTTCACATTAAGGCATTATGAAATAAGATTTATTTTCTTTGATGAGTGCCACACTTCGTTCACAATGGCAATTTCTTTAAAAGCCTGTAACTAGTAAAATTGGAAGCTCTCGGGCCATTAGATTTTGTTTTCCTACAATGCTAAGCAATTTTTGCAAACTACAGCTGAAGGGGTTGTGCGTATCTAATGTGTCTCAGAACAAATGAAAGAAGTTATGTTAGTATTGGCACCAACCTCTTTTCACACGTTAAATATCCGTTATTCCAAAAGTTGATGACATGCGACAGACCAGTTTCTGGTGCAAGTTTTGTATCCTGTTTGGAAAGAAACAGAGCAGTAAGGATAAAAACAGTTTTGTTTAAGACATTGAGCTAAAAGACATAAAAAAGCATTGAAGTGCACCAGCAACTTGCCTAACAAAGCAGGGTGAGTAAATTGGCATTTAATTTACTGTATAATGTCCCCTTCCCAGCCCTATGTCTATTAGCACAACCTTAACTTTGCAACACACTGCAAGTAATCTTAAAGGCCAACTGTGACAAAATTTTACACCGGAAAAGGAAGTCTCAATTTGCATAATGTAAATAAAGTGGAGCATTTATCTAAAGCTACCTTTTTAATGGAGTAAATATGCTACCAAAACCAAAAAAGGATAACGTAAGGTGCATTTTGTATATAGTACCGGGTTTCTAGATACCAGCCTTTACAAATACCCGTACTGGTATTTTCAATATATTGCCGCGGTTCAACGTAAGCAGATCCCAGAGACGTTGAGTCCGAGAACCGACGGCGTATGTTTTTATGCAGGAGCCAAGAGCAAGAGACATAAACAAAAGCACGTCGTCTTCTTCAGTGTCCCTTTTCACAAGACTGTTGACGCGCACATCGTCTTCGTTCTCTGTCTATTTCGAGCGCGGCAATATCTATTAATCTCCATGCATCAACATTCATGGCTTTAGGTGCCTTCAAAGGCAGCTGCTTTGCCAACATTGATTTTATTATACTTTATTTTAACCGATAGAGCCAATGCAAAGTTTTGTAGCAGCTAGCCTTCAAGTGCCCCGACTGGGGCTCCCTTTGTACACTGAAAGCACATTTGTCATATGACATTTCTCACTAGAATAACGAGATTGAACCAATTCACAGTTTAAAAACTTGAAACCTTGCAATGTCAACACAGTCGCCCAAAGGGTTCCTTGATTTGGCAAAGCGACGTACATGTGTAACTGGAAAGCACCTCCACACCTACTGTACAGTCATGGGCACATGAAACGCAAACAAGAAATTTCAAAGTAGAACAGGCTTCACGGCTGATAACCTGACAGCACTACTTCACAGCGCTAATTATGCGATCACTAAAGGCTGTGTAAACCTCAAATTTAGCTTGCAAGCCCAGACTATGCTTACGTTGGCGAAAACAAGAACATAAGAAGGCATTTTAGTTGGCCCTAACTTGTTCACACTTCACTCGTCTATGACTGTGCCTTGTAACCTGCGCTGTGTGTATGCTAAGAATGCATGCCGACCTTACTGCTTTGGACAACACAGATTCCATCATAAGAGACAAAACACGAAAACACATACATGGCAAGCCAGAATCTCTCCACACATGCTTCGAACAACACTTGAAACAGCTGGGACGTTGCAACTCTCATATACACTATGTATACAGCTTTATAATACATTGTGAAAAAGTTCAATAAAAAAAATAAAAGAACACCCCTTGAGAAAATATTACATTTCGGGTGATGGGGAAAGGAAGATCAGACCACTGCCTCACGGAGGTACCCCCCAGCGACTTTTGTCATAAATCTTGCCAAGTGGCTCGTGTGGAGTGTTGAACAGATGAGGAAGCCGTGCCGTTTCGATATGCAAGACTTCTGTGGTACTGTGAGACAAACAACAATATGCCAGTATCCTTGGTGTAACAAACTCCACTTGTAACCAGGAAGGTGACACTATTTGGCATTCTGTCTCCCTCCACAGAGAGTGCACTGGCCTCTAAGGAAACATTGCCCATTAATTCCCAAATAAAATCTGAAATTTTCCTCACGCAACAATGTGGGTGATGCACATTACGAATTTTTCTCAAACAGAAAAATATTGCACTTGGTAATTACGACGATATACTGAGTGAAATTTGTATGAATGAGAAATATAGCCAAACCAGACATTCATACCACACTTCCTCATCATAGAATGAAGAGAATTTTGAGGGCTCATTTCTTTGTTTGACACGTTATTGAAAACCAGCAGATAATGAAGAAAATTAAGTTAAGTATAGGGGACATTAAGTGTACTTTTTTATTGTAACAATAGTGACATAGGTGTGAAATAAAACCCCAGGCCTGCGCGGAACGCACGGCACAGTCACAGTGAAAGCTAGAAGAGTGGCCTTACAGAGCCTTTTCAAAACACTCATCGGGCAACTCATACAAGCACACTTGCTCGATACCCACTAAGACATTAATGATAAACTTTTGGGTAGTAGGCTGACATTCACTATGCCATTTTTTTCGTCATTCTTCTGAGAAGCGTCGTAACTGCTAAACGCTTGCAAGAAATTTCGTGCCAATTGTTCATGCAGTGGCTGACGACGATGAGGAATTATGGCTGAAGTGGGTATGCACCACAGTTAATAGGGGAACAAGAACAAGCTTTTGTACTGGCCCACTCGTTATGCTATTCGCATTCTGCGACGACTGGTTGTTCTTTTGCTGTTTCAAAACGCTTTACAAGTCATATTAACGTGACTGTTTTCCCGACATCAAGCCTGCCTAAGGCAAGTCTGCCAACAAGTCACAAGCACCAGCGTAGCTCAGTGGTAGTGTACTGGGCTGGCACCCAGCGGACCCGGGTTCGAGCCCCACTGTGTCTTTGGTGCTAGGTTTGCCAACAAGTCGCAAGCACCGGCGTAGCTCAGTGATGTAATACTGGGCTGGCACCCACCAGACCCGAGTTTCAAACCCCACTGTGTCTTTGGTGCTAGTTTTTTTTTCTTTTCTAATTTCGCGCGATGTGGTTACGGACACCTGAGGCGACGACAACTGCGCGTGACCTGAGTTGTGATCTCATAACAGCTTTCGCTGTAAAAGAAGTAAGGACGATGAAAGACAACTTGCCACCCGCAGAGACTGAACCTGCATCCTTCAAATAACGTGCCGTATGCTTTTATCATTTGAGCTACACTGGTGGTTGTCCCATCATCGACTTTGTGGTGTATTGACGGTTCTGCAAACCCTGGGAGTCTTAACCAGCATCGTTTGCAGCCATGACAGCAAATGGCGATTGACCTTCTACACATCTATATCACAGTTGAAACAATATATTTAAAACAGTACAATCAACATATTCTACTTTGCCTGACTTCATTATCTGCTAGATTTCATTACCTTCCTCATCATTACAACACTCAATTACGTTTGCACAGCATGGCATGACATGGCATGGGGTGGATTCAATGCACCTCGCCAACTCTTCACAACTGTGATTGAGAGGGCGCGAGGGTGGGAAGAGCCATTGTGATGAGTGCGGCCTCCCGTGGAAGAGACTATGTACACGAGCACATGAACGACAGCCTCTCGGCTTATCATTCGCTATCCTCGCTGTCAATGATGTCTTTTAACCTTGAGAAGACCTTGCATGATTCGTCGACTGCCTCCTTGGGTTTCTCGGGCGTGGCACTTGGGACAATGGAGACGGCTGCGCTTCGAGTCGTTCGCTTCGTTGCACCATCTGTGATGCAAATGTGAGAGGAGTTGGAGCATGGCTGGAGGCAGGGGGGGGGGGCCGCATGTTTAAGTTAGGATGATAAAGATAACACCTCGAGAAGCATAAGTGAAGCAGCAACCTCAAAAGGAAAGCTCCGCCTTATTTATTATATGCAGGCCATACCTATTGTACTGGTTTCTGGTTGGCACAAATAATATGCGATGTGGCTCTTCAAACCTACATTCACCTTCACACAGGCGTAACCAGAGGGGAGAGAATTGGGGCTGTTCAACCTCCAACCCAAAATCCCATCAAAATAAATAAATAGGTAAATAAATACAATCGAACCCACTCATAAAGATCCCAGCTATATCTGTTGGTTGTAACAACCATATTTCTGAGAATTTACAATTTTCGTATGATGATGATGATGATAGATTTTAGTGGCGCAAGGGCAACTCAGGCCAAAGAGCGCCAAACACACGTTTTTTGGTCGATTTGATTATAAAAAGTCTACTCAGGGTGGCAAGAATAAAAGAGTAGTGTATAGGACTTAAACTTAGGTGTAGTGACCATGTGTTATGGGTTTAAAACGGGCTACGCTTATGGGTTTTACAAAGTCATGCCGTGCTGTCAACAGTCCTTGTCAAGACAAGGAGTGCGTGCTGCATGAAATTTGATTAAAAAAAAAAGTCTCAGCGGTTCCCTCAGGATTGAGAGGAGGCTGAGATTACTGAGAATATGTTATGGAATGTAGGAAGCCTACACTAGCTAAAAACTTTAAGACTACTTTTGGGGGAAACAAGGGATCGTCTCCAAGAAAAAATTGTGGATGAGGCGGAATGTGACATTTGTACAGCTTTGGAAAGTGACAGAGTCTTTCTGGTTCGAGGTACGGACAGGTAATTAGAACGTGAACGACAGACTGCACATCACCACATTTTGCACAATGTGGTGCTGGAGAGTTGTTTAAAAGGTGCGAGTGTGTTGCATGAGTATGACCGATCCTGAGTCTGCACAGTGCAACCTCTTGGTGCCTGTTACGTTTTTCAGTCACGTATCTTCCTATTCTTGGCTTTACTAAGTGCAGTTTGTTTGCTATTGCTGCGTTCCATTCTTCTTGCCATTGTCTACGCATTCGGGATCTGATGAGTGGCCTCAGGTCCTCATACGGGATGGTGTCTACGTCAGCTGATGGGCGGATCGCTGCTGACTTCGCAAGTTTGTCCGCTATCTCATTGCCAGCAATGTTGCAGTGTCCCGGAATCCAGCATAGCGTGATTTTGAGCTTAGATTTGCGGGCTGACATGATGCATTTTAGAAGTGTATTAGTAACTGGGTTTTTGAGTATCTTAGCGGAGGACAGCGCAGTCACAGCACTGAGAGAATCTGTGTATATGATTGAGGCTGGTTCTTTCTCCTTTAAAATGTGCGTTACAGCTAAAAGTATGCCATAGCATTCTGCAGTAAATATACTGGTATGTTCGTTCATTGTTCTAGATTCAGAGAAAGCGGGACCATGTGCCGCACATGCGACTGCAGAGGACTTGGACGCATCAGTATAATATTCAGCACACCTGTATTTGGCCTGCAGGTACTTGAAGTGTTGATAGATTGCAACTGGGTGGCCATTTTTTCCTACCTCTAGGAATGACAAGTCACAATCGATAGCCAGCATTTCCCATGGCACAACAGTGTCCTTGTGAGAGGTTAGTTGAAAATTGGAGACCAGTATGTGCATATTTCCAAGGTGTGAGGCCACTCTGAGGGGATACGGTGGCGTAGCTGATGGTTGCCTCAAAAACAGGAGGGCGTTTGATGTATCCTGCAATAGCGCACGAGCTGGGTGGTCGACATGGGAAAGCACCTTGGTGGCATACGTGACATTTGTAAACTGACGTCGCCGTTCTAGTGACCACCGGTCTGTCTCAACATACAGGCTGGCTGTCGGGCTGGTTCGGAAAGCACCGCTGGCCAGCCGAAGCCCAAGGTGGTGCACCGGGTCAAGCATCTTCAATGCAGATCTTGAAGCTGACTCGTAAACCACCGAGCCGTAATCGATACGTGATAGCACTACACTGTTGAGAAGGTTCAGTGGACAGTCACGGTCTGTGCCCCATGACTGATGCGAGAGAATCTTGAGCAGGTTCAAGGCTTTCAAGCATTTCAGTCGTAGCTGTTTGATATGTGTAACGAAGCTGAGCTTTTCATCAACCACAACACCTAAAAATTTGTGATCTTTTTTGGTGGTTGTGGTTTGTCCGTTAATTGAAATGTTGGGGGGTGGCCTTATGCCACGTAGTTTTGAGAAGAGTACGCAAACAGTCTTGTCACAGTTAAACTTAAACCCATTATTGTCTGCCCAGCTTGACAGCTTGTTTACTGCCAACTGAATCTGACGCTCACAAGGGCTAGGTTGCATGATTTGAAGCTGATCTGAATGTCATCCACATATACAGAGTAGGAGATTGTTTTAGGCAATATGGTGCTTATGGAGTTCATTTTTATGATGAATAGTGTGCAGCTAAGAACACCGCCCTGGGGGACGCCATTTTCTTGCGTAAACCACTTTGATAAGGCATTACCAACACGAACCACAAATGTACGTTCAGAAAGGTAGCTTTCAATAGTATTCAGCATATTTCCTGACACTCCAAAAGATCGCAGGTCACGGAGAATGCCATAATGCCATGTCGTGTCGTAAGCTTTCTCCAAGTCAAAAAATACAGATAGGCAGTGCTGTTTATGAATGAAGGCATCCCTGACATAGGATTCAAATGCTACCAGTTGGTCAGTTGTCAACCGGCCAGACCTGAATCCAGCTTGATGACGATCAAGGAGGCTATTGTATTCAAGGTAATACATAAGGCGGCGATTCACCATTTTTTCGAACACCTTGCCCAAACAGCTGGTCAGCGCTATAGGCCTGTAACTAGCAGCAGGTGTGGCTTCTTTTCCTTGTTTAAGGATGGGTATGATAACTGCCTTTTTCCAGGTCATCCAGAGGACCATACATTGTTGAAAAGAATGAGGACGACGTCAGGCGTTTCTTCGTGTAGGTGTTTCAGCATGCCGTAAGTAATCCTGTCCGAGCCTGCTGCTGAGCTGCCGCACTTTGCCAGTGCTGTCTTTAGTTCACCTATAATAAAGGGGGCATTGTACCCTCCTGCCGATGGCCTGTCATCACGAATAGGTTTAAGTTCTTCGGCAAGTTTGTATCGCCTAAAGGAGACTGTATAATGTGCTGAGCTGAAAATATACTCGAAGTGTTGGCCTAAGGCATCTGCCTGGTGTTCCAGTTTATCACCAGCAGTACTAACAAGGGGCATCGGATGAGTGCTGTGCCCTTGGAGAGCTCTTACTCTGTTATACACCTTATGTGTGTCAGTGTAAGAGTTCACCGATGAGAGGAAGGATTGCCAGCTCTGTCGTTTAGACTCTCGTCGGACACGTCTACCGTTTGCTTTTGCACGCTTAAAATTCACCAAGTTTTCGACTGTAGGATACCTGCGGAATTTTGACCATGCTTTGTTTTGATTGTCACGAGCATTTTTGCACTCAGAGTTCCACCAAGGTCGTCTTTTGTTCCGTGTATTGCTAGATGTATGTGGGATGGATTGCTCTGAAGCCTGTATAATGTGCAGTGTGACCAACGCTTCAGATTCATCGATGCCTAGTTTTTCAATTGATGAGCGCGATAGTTTTGAGAGTTTTCAGAATTTCGTCCAGTTCGCATCCTGTTCTCGGAACCTGGTTACATTCACAGTCATTGTACTCGTATTTCCTTTGTATTTTAGACAAACAGGAAAATGATCACTTCCATAGAGGTTATGAATTACAGCCCATTCAGTGGTTGCCAAGAGTGAAGAAGATACGATAGCAAGATCTATTGCTGTGTATGAGTTGTGCGCTGCGTTAAAGTATGTTGGCTCTCTTTTATTAAATATACAAGAGCCAGAGGACAACAGAAAGTTTTCAATTAAGGAGCCCCGAGAATCCGTTCTTCTACATCCCCATAAAGGGTGGTGCACATTAAAATCTCCGACCAACAGAAATGGATGCGGAAGCTGGTCGATGAGTGTTTCAAATTCTTTAGTAGAGAGTTGGTAGTCTGGAGGGATGTACAGTGAACACACGGTTGTTACTAGTCCAAAAATTAGGGTTCGTATTGCCACTGCTTCTAAGTCAGTAACCAGAGTGAGGCTTTGAGACGGAATTGCTTTCTGCACCACGATAGGGACACCACCAGATGAATGGGCAGTGCCCTGTCTGTCCTTTCGGTATACCACATATCTTTTCAAAAGGCTAGTGTGTGTAGGTTTTAGGTGTGTTTCCTGTAAGCAAAATATGTTTGGTTGGTGTTGTGCAAATATTTCATAGATGTCATCTAAGTTCTTAAGTAAGCCTTGGCAATTCCATTGGATGATACTTTCGGCAGCCATTTTTATGAATGAGGAAAAGAGCGTGACTTATTCACACATCGCTGCCTTTATTAGGAGGCTTCACGGGAGGGTGTCTTTTCCCTCTGAGGCAATCTATGGAGCCCCGCCTCACTTGGGGGATTCCGTCAGCATCTTAGATGCTGAGGATCCTGGTGTCACTTCCATTGCCTCCGGTGGACCCTCAGAAGCTATTGGAGGTTTGTCAGAAGAGACAGGTGTCTCAGTTGTCTGTGTGGTCCCTGGGGTCTGATGAAGTTCGACCTCCGGGACGTGAAAGGTTGGTGCAGCCGGTGGCTGCTTGGTGGGGGGCAGAGATGTGCACGAATCAGCAAAGCTGTATTGCGTGCCCACCGTCACTAGACGCCGCCCGGCCCCCCGGCACGCTGCGTCAGCGTACGTTCTTCCGGAGAAGAGCGACACCTTCTTCCGGGCTTCAGAGAATGTGATGTTTTCCACTACTTTTATCTGGATAATTTCCTTTTCCTTTTTGAAAATTTCACATGTCCGCGAGTACGCTGCGTGCGGCCCGTGACAGTTAGGGCCCTCTGTTTGCGTGGAAGTACAGCTCTCCGTTGGGTGCTC